AAGAAAGCCTTTCTGCGCAGAAGGTAGATCTCTTCATTTAGGATTGAGCACACTTACCATTACACCTTTCTGCCTTTAATAAGATTTGAATATTATAACACTTGGGTTGTATTTTTATGTGGTATCCTACAGATGAGGAAGAAGTTGTGCCTAAGAAATTAAAACCCTCTGCCAAACACACAGAAACAAAAGCAACTAAAGAGGTCCAGCAAGTTAAAGAGAGGTAACATTCAGCACTCTTTTTCATTATATTTGATATATTTTAGTACCAAACCCTTGTGTTCATTTAGAACATTGTATATTAGTCTAACTAGCAGGGCTCGACACTAACGGTAGCCCACTAGCCACAGACTATAGTAGAAATTCAGTTTTGGCCAGTTGTTTTCAATTTCCACTAGCCAGCAGTTTGGCTGGTAAGTAAACTGAAATTGTCATCAAAATCTAAGATGTTACTAGCCACTTGGCTAGTAAGTTGAAAATTTAGTTTTGAGCCCTGGCTAGGGATTCCTCTGGATTCTTCACAGAATTCTCTAGCTAAATTTTAATTGTACAAGTTTTTTTTTTCTTTTTTCACTCTATGTCATCAGAGGCAGAGAATGTTAGACTTGCCTTTGGACACTGCTTTCGTGCTAACACATTTCACCCTTTGATCTTCAGGAGTGACCAGCATTTAATTTTTCGTTAAAATTAATAATTATAACCCCTGAATCAGACAGTGAGGTCCTGAGAATGAAAGAAGCTCTTGATTGTTAAATAAATTCTCCTTGCCAGCACTATAGGAAATGTATTGAGAATGGTATGGAGAATATGCATACTGATGTTAGGGTGAAAAAAAAAAACAACAGCAACAACAACAACATGAGGGAGACAGTGTAAAACAGTCACCAAGAGAGAATTTTAACACAGCATTCTTGACATTATTGAAATACTAATTCATGGATTTTTGTAGTTATCAAATAATCTTTTTTTTTTTATTAATATTATTTCTGTTTCAGTCCAGTCAAACCTAAAGAGAAAAAAGTGACCTCTGCTTTTGATTTCTTTGGTTCAACTTCAGTGGAAAGGGAATCCAGGAAAACATTTGCTAATAAA